AGGCATGGGATCGCGCGCTCATGATGGCGACGGGTCGGTCCCACGTGCAGGCGACACACGCCCAGGAGATCATGTGATAGGCGACGACGCGTCTTCAATGCGCGATGTAGTGGGCGAGTTGAGCCCATCTGGCTGCCAACAACCGCTCAAGGGTGTGCCAGGTGCGGTTGCTCCAGACCGCGTGCCCGCCCCAAGCCACGTGTCGCACGCTAGATTGCCGCCTGTGGACCCAGCGGCAGGAGGCGTCAGGGGATCCGCCTGGGGATCTGAGCTCGCAGTGCCACCAGATTCGCTGTGAGATCTCTCGGGATCGGTTGCTGCAGAGGAATCCTCCTCGTGTCCCGTGTCGGGCTAGTTTGGCCTTTCTTGCTGTATAAAATCATAGCCCAAAAGACTTTTTCATGTTGCACTTTTTCAATATTCCTATCTGCAGCAGGTTCACCAACATTAGTAGCACTATTAATCATATGATCATCAACATTTTCTCCCCCATGATCATTAGGATTAAGAAGCTCCAGGGGTAACAACAGAATTTCAGCATGGAGGTGAGCCCCTGCATTAGGATGAAGGGTGGAAAAGGGAAAAGTGTTTTCATCAAACACAACATCCCGAGAAATATAAACACGCCCTGTGGAGATATCGAGACACTTATAACCCTTGTGTAGATTGCTATACCCAAGGAATGCACATTGTTTGGAGCGAAATTGGAGCTTATGACTATTGTAGGGTCGCAAGTTAGGCCAACATGCGCATCCAAAAATGCGAAGAGATGAATAGTTTGGGGTTTCACCAAATAATCTAGTGAGGGGTTTTTCAAAGTTTATAACTTTGCTTAGCATTCTATTGATCGAGCAGGTAGAAGCAATGAAGGCCTCGTCCCCAAATTTTAAGGGCATAGAGGCTTGAGCAAGCAAAGACAAACCGACCTCGACAATATGTCGGTGTTTGCGCTCGGCTGATCCATTCTGCTGATGCGCATGGGGGACAGGAAACATGGTGTGAGATTCCAATTTTGTTAAAAAAAGGAATTCAACTTTTCGTACTCCCCACCCCAATTTGTTTGGAGAGCAAGAATTTTTGATCAAATTGTCGTTCAACGAGGTTTTGAAAGTCATGAAATTTTTGAAAAACTTTAGACTTGCGTTTGATGAGATAGATCCATGTAAATTTACTGAAACCATCGATAAAATCACATAGTATTTTTTTTGTTTCTTCCTACTATTTCAACAGCAGAACCCCAAACATCAGAGGAAATAAATTCCAAAGGAAATTGTGATTCACTAACAGATTTTGGATAGGGCAACTGGTGACTTTTGCCTTTTTGACATGCGTCATATACAAGCTTATTATCATCATTGCTAACACACGGGAGTTTATTTCCACTAAGAATCTTCCTAACGATTATGGAAGATGGATGACCCAACCGTCGGTGCCACCAGTCGAAAGATGGTCTAGTGACACTTAGCACTTGCTTCTTGACGTTTGTCCCAATGTGTTTGATAGGGTAAAGACCTCCTCTACCCCTGCCGCGAAGAAGAACCCTCCTCGTTTCCAGATCCTTTACAAGGAAAAAATGAGGGTGAATTTCAACAAAGGTGTCATTATCAATGGCAAGTTTATTTGCCGAAATCAGATTTTTGTGGCCTCCGGAACATGAAGGACATCGTTTAGATGAAGATTACGATCAGGGGTTGAAATAGTTGTGTGAACGATATGATCAATAGCCATACCTGAACCGTTGGCAGTGTGAATTTGCTCGTTGCCGGTGTACCTCTCTCGGACGGTCAGCTTCTCCAAGTCGCCAGTGATATGGTCAGTGGCTCCACTGTCCATATACCAGTTCGTGTCTACGCCGTACTGGGGAGCAGCCACATTCATCGAGCACTTTTCTCCCCCTTGATAGGAGGAGTTGTAGCGCTTCCAGCTCTTCCATGATGGATGCCCAAGCTTGCCGCAGATCTGACATGTGGGCTTGGCATCGGGATTGTTGTTGTAGTTCCCGCCACCACCGCCACCGCCGTTGCCTCCCGTGTTGCCACGAGCAGGCCGCTGCCTTGGACTTCGTCTTGCTGTCGTCGGAGGTGACCTCAATGGTCACGGGGGGCACCACCTGGTCGAGCTCGAGGTAGTTTTGCATCTGCGCCCCCCCCCTCTCGCGGATGGCCGAGAGGACGCTCCCTCCATAGAGCCTCGTTTCCTCTTGTGAGCTTCTCGGTGACGCTGTGTGCAAATGGTGTTGAGGGGAAGGAGGTGGAGCTTGAAGATGTCGCCATGGATGTGTGCGAGGTAGGCTCTGATACCATGAAAGAAGAGGCAGGAAGCGTATGCACTTGCGGCAGGGACACGTACGTGTTTATATAGCACATAGATACATCATCGGCAGGTTGTTGTTGGCTTGACCCCTAGTCCAAGACTACACAAGATAGAGATAAAATCCATCTAACAACCTACCTAGCTACAACTCACGCACGCACACAATTACACCGTGACATGTCACGGTACAACTACTAGCCTATCATTTAACAAAGTTCAATCCTGAAGATTTGGTTTTTCATAAAGATGCATTCTCTGTTGGTTTCATTCTGTGCAATGCTTAGACCTCTAATTCTACCAAAGGAAGAAATAATGGATTTTTTTCCTGTTCAACTTCATCTTGTGAACATGCTTTGTTTATTATCTACGCCCCAGGCTGTAAAGTTATTTCGCTATTTCATCACAGCTTCGAAGTGAAAGAAACAATTGATTTGCTAATTCTCATCAAGATTGGAATTAGCAAAGTCTCATCTAACACCTTGTAACGACCAACCTAATAAGTTCTAGGTGTGTGTGCTTACCATTCCAGCCCTAAATTGATCACCAACATACACGGTGCTGATGTACTTGATACCAAACGCAAATGCACCATTCTCTATTGCATCACAAATATCCAGAATAACATACTCCCTCCATTCCAAAATAAGTGTTGTGGTTTTAGTTCAAATTTGAATTAAAACCATACACTATGCTCTCAAAGGAATAAAAAATATATGTGCTGCAATCATGCCATTTTCGAGCATCAAACACTTACTTTCTACAAAGATACGAACATAAGTGACGGATTTTATGTTATATTTGCAGCTGGTCTCAGCTGTTGGCACTCTCTTCTTTTTCCCAAAGTAAGTTGAAGGTAAATTTCAAAGTTAGTGGTCATTTTTTCCTTTAATTTAAATTGGTGTGCGCACACTGTCTTGAGGGAATAAATCAGTTTTCTATAGCATCATTTCTTTGAGCATTGTATAAAGTTTTAGAAGTTCAATATTTTTAAAATTGTGCTATATACTATATGATCTCTAGTGTATAGAAGATAAAATCCAAACTTTTACATGCTTTTTCCAAGGTCTCGAGCATAGCCATGTCCTATAAACCTCACATCATGAGTTGATTCATCATATGTGTGAATTCAAGCTCTCATCATATTAGTGAGCATATTAAGCTCTCATCATATTAGTGAGCATATTAAGCTCTCGTCCAAATGTACTTAGGCAAAGTCTTATTATATGTTTCAAAACTCTCTTGGATTTTTTTGATGCGACACTTTCTTGGGAATTTTGTTGGTGGCGTGGTGCTAACTCAAGCTTTATGAACAAAACAGGCAACAATGCTTTGCCTACAATACCAAATGATTCCCAGCCGAAGTATCTTATGCATTGTTATTTCCACGACTACATAAATGCGCGCCAACCTTTGGAAGAAAATGTTTTTCAAATACAGTATTCTTTTCTTTGAGAGCATTAATTCGGGTTAGTTATGATAAAAAATTGAAAATGGGCAGTGATTTTCTGAAAGTTTACTGGAATAAGAATATAGTCTAAAACAACCGGGAATTGTACTAACTTCTCCACTTTTGTTTTATCTTAAGGCTAAACTTATCTCCATAAAGAAGTGCTAATTTTATCAGCTAGGCATTACTCCCCGTTCTAACTGGATTGGTCAGTAAACAAGCTCTGTACTTTAAACCTTTGTCGGTGATGCCAAAATGACATTTGGATGCACAAATCCAAGAGAAGCTTGCATATCTAAAGTGATGCTAATGATCCTAGGTTGAGGAGAAGTTGCAAATCAAGCAACAATATTAGGAGTTGGGTTACACGTTTTAGTAGTTTTAATTTTTTGTATGCTCTGTAAATTCTTTTACTCTATAATATGCAAAATCTGCTCAATGAGATTAGAGCATCTTATATGCAAGCTATGTGTGCCATGGCCTATGTGTTACTTTCATGTGTTCAACCTTATCAATTTAATTCTAATTCATGATTCAAGGAAACAACTTTGTATGCTCAAAACTTATTTGATATTGGTTTCTTCGGGGTTCAAGCAATCATCTAAGTTTAAAATGGCAGAAAACTTATTTAATATTGTTTTTTTTCCGCCAAAAGGGCCAAAAAAATCCACAGAAACATCACACATGAAAATTAAAATAAAGCGTTGCGCTTTAGAGGTTCTGCGAAATACAGCGGCAGCGACATTGAGCCGGGTCTCATTCAGGTCGCCTGATACATGTGTTTTGAACAAGGACCTGTGCAACAACTACTCGTACGAAATAGTACAAACTCTTGTGTCTCCAGAATTCACACAAGTGACACACAACTCACTGATCTTCTGAGCCTGAGCTACACAGAACTCACATTTTGCACGTCTTGCAACGCTTTACTCTGAAACAATCAAACACATATACACTATATAACAAACCAACACCAAAAGCTAAGCAACGGTGTAGGTCTGTTTCTGGCAACCTTCTTCCATGCTAACACACGAAAACAGCCAAAAGAGAAACATGAGAAATTATCCGGGAGACAGATGATTCACTTTATGAAAGGGAACTCCCATCAACTCGAGGCAGATTTCCACCCTGAAAATGATTTAACAACAGTGAGACCTCACAGAAGAATCATTAGGCCTGATGCTACTTAATCATGGACCGAAATGCCAGTATGGCACTTACAAGTTACAGCATGGCTAGATCAGACTAGACTCGGCGTGAACCAGACTTCCAATGGGCAGATGGTTCCGTAATGACCTCCACCAGATGGGAAAGCCGCCTCGAGCGTCCGTCTTTTCAGGTCATAGACCTTCACGCCGCTCCATTGGTTATGGCGATTCTCGAAAGGGCGGCGCTTTCTGAGGCGTGGAGTTGTGAAATAGATACAATCCGGTTTTAGTTCGGGGAATTTTTTGGTTGATAAAATGCCTGGGCTATTCTGGCCGACGAAGGCCGCATGTCCCCGCAGAGCCTTCCCTGAGCTCAGTGCAACCCTTGTCTGACTCTTGAGGTCCAACCTGTCTATTTCAATCCTGATGTTGTTTCCACAGAGCGTGTCAAGAAAGACACGCACCTGCAGGAGATGACCCCAAGGTGTCGAAAGCAAATACCTAGTGATAACTGGGTCGTCGAACATGTCGTTGTCATCCTCGGCGATGACCGTCTTCTTCCTCGGTTTGTCTGGTCCACCAAAGTCCCATGACTTCAATATTCCTTCCATTGTCACCGCATAGAACCTTCCGCGGTGGTAGATACAATCGGCAAAGCTGTCCCCGCTTCTTTGGATCACCGAAACTTGTTGCCAATAGCTGTCTCCTATCCTTGCGAAAGAGAGGCGCTTGCCGTCCAGGTGGATGACCAGAGCGACAGCGCGACAAGTGGACGGAGGACCGGACAGCACAACCTTGTCATAGAAACACGCGCCGGGAGACTGCACACCATGAACGTGTTCCATCATGTAACACCTGTAACGATAGCCCACGATTTTCCCTCCGTCTTCATAAGCCCCCTCGATGCAAGATGCAAACCCAGTGATTGGCGGGAGCGGGATCAACGCCGCGGTGAAGGGGTTATATAGGACGAGATCCGAGAGCTCGTTCGCCATGATTAACCAGCCATGGGAGGCGCCGCAGCAGGCCACGGCTTGGCCCCCGGGAAAGCTGACCTGAAAAGTTCTATCAGGATCCAGTAGGCTCCGGTGCTCAGTGGTAGCAGCAGGATCCCATAGCCCACGACGCACACGCAGCTGTTGATCCCCTACCGGAAGAGGCTCGTCCGCCAAGGACACGAGCCAGGGCGTCTGGCGATATGGGACACAGCCGGCGGCCACAGATGCAGAACGCCATGACGAGCAGACAGCGCCGAAGGCGAGGGCCTCGGGGAGCTCGAGGAGATGCAGTATCCGGATGAGGAGGTCGATGGGGAGGTCCGACCAGCCCGAACTTGCATAAGGTCCCGCCATTGTGAAAGCTTCACGTTATATTCTTTTAGGAAGAAAGAACATGTAAGCAGATTGTATATAGCGAAGCAAAACAAGCCCGTGTACGTTGCCCACTCGGGTAAGGCCCCTTCCCTTTTCCCCTTGGAACTAATAAGTATACAATTCAAATTGGCAAACCGATTTGTACTACCGTTCGGATTGACTGAGCCACTGAAAGAGCAAAATAAAAACTTGACAGCACAGCGCCATAGAATTCGCAATTCCATTCATGCTAGTTAACTGACGGCCTATATAATGAGCGAAGCAAAATCCATTCGAGTTCAGAAGGAGGGTCCCATCAACATTTTTGGTAGAAACAGAGGGCTTCCGTTGAACAGAACCAAACAATTCATCTTGATGAGAATATTAATCCGTGCGATCTTTCTAATCGTTGAGCGACAGATTGCGGTAGGGTTACTTACCCATAGCAGTGGCCTTCGGGAACTCATCATCGAGGGAGATAGGAGGCCAGATGTGGAAGTATCTCCAATGGTCTTCTCCTCATCGGAAAGGAAAGAAAGGGGATCGGGATTAGGGGATGCGTGGAATCTGGCCGATTAGGAGGAGCGGCAGGGGGATGTGCCACAACCTTGCCGGCGGCGTAGGTTGTTGAGGGCTGCCATGGCGGGGGCATATGGGGTGGGAGGGCTGCTGGATTGCGGCGGCGTAGGGCGGGGGCTAGCCGGATGGGCAGGACGGTCAAGCTGAGGGAGATGGTACGGAAAACGCTTGTATTCGGGCGACTGATTCGGCGTCGCGTTGGTCGCACGTAGTGCCGTTGGATGGCATGTGATCCGGTGGCTGAAACGTAACTACCCAAATCATCTCCGGTTAGATGTTTTTTTCTTTTTTTTTTGAGGGGTATCTCCGGTTAGATGCACGGCTGTTAGCAGCTCTACTACTACCAGGCCTGAAGCCCAGAAACAGCCCAAGGCCCAAGAAGATGGCGCATGTGAGCCCAGCAAGAGAAAGGAGAAGGCCGAGCACCAAAGTGACCGGGAACTGCAAGATCTGGCAGCAACTAATTAACGAGCGCTCCTTCGGGAGCCTCGCAACGATCAGCGCCACTTGGCGCACTCACAGCCATTCGCCACGTGTCGCGCTCTGGGCGCTCCCTTCGGATTTTTTTTTATTTTTACGCACGCGTTTTCGGCTTTTTAAACGGTTTTTTTTGACGTTTTGGTTTTCTACCGGTCTTCCATAGCTTCTCGATCAAAAAAATTCAAAAAAATATTTTTTTCGCAAAAAAATGCATTTTTTTTCTGGAGAGTCACAATTTTGTTTTCGCGAGAGGCACGTTTGTGCTTTCGCGAGAGGCACGGCCGTGCCTCTTGGAAACGAAAAAAAACATATTTTCTATTTTTTTTCTTTCGCGAGAGTTACGGTTTTGCTTCCGCGAGAGGCATTGTTGTGCTTTCGCAAGAGGCACGGGCGTGCCTCTTTCAGAAAGAAAAAAAACATTTTTTTTCTTTCGCAAGAGGCACGGTTTTGCTTCCGCGAGAGGCACGGTTGTGCCTCTTTCGGAAGGGGAAAAATGCGTTTTCTGTTTTTTTTCTTTCGCGAGAGGCACGGTTTTGCTTCCGCCAGAGGCACGGTTGTGCTTTCGCGAGAGGCACGGGCGTGCCTTTTTCGGAAAAGGAAAAAAACGGGTTTTCTATTTTTTTTTCTTCCGCGAGAGGCACGGTTTTGCTTCCGCGAGAGGTACGGTTGTGATTTCGTCAGAGGCACGGGCGTGCCTCTTTCGGAAAGGAAAAAAAACCCGTGTTCCTGGTACGGTTTTTTCGTCGGTTTTTTCCGTTCGGTTTTATCATGAAAAAAAAGTTCATCAAAACCTATCAACATGGGATCTAGTTTTGAAGATCTCGACGCGAAAGCGGTTCGAGATTTGGACGCACGGTTTAAGAGATAAAACGTTTTAAATAAACGAATCTACGTAAAAAAGGGAAAACTTCCAGGTTGCGACAAGTGACGCACATGCAGCGCCACTTGTCGCAACCTGGGGAAGTTGGAGTGATCTCCGCAAGGAGTACTCCTTAATTAGTGATTTCGGCAAGATCTCCATATAGTGATTCGATGGCCTGCATTCCAGGAGATCATCCCCGGCCCAAGTGCGTTCACCGATCAAGACTTCCCATCTTTTTGGATGAGCAACATAAGGTGCTTTCAAAAACCATTATTAGTAATGTTCGTGTGGATGAAAAAGTGACAACATTGTTGTTTCAGTCCAATTGCAGCCTCTTTACTGAAGTCTTTGAAGTATTTCTTTGAGCAGAGATTAATACGGCAAAAAGGTATTTTCAAGGATTTCATTGTAATTCTTAGTCATAGGAGTTACTTTGCATTTTCTTGGATCTTAGATCCAAATCAGTGCACCTGTAATTCTAATGGGTATAAATAAAGTTAGAGATGTTTCTAAAAAAATCAAATCAGCGGTCATCCCATGTGATTCAGCAACAGTGGTGAAGAATATATATATATTTTTTTTATTTTTTTTAGAAAAGGAGGATGACCCCCGGCCTCTGCATCTGGAAGATGCATACGGCCACTTTATTGATTATTCATGATGACCATACAAAGTATTACACCAAAGTGCCTGAATCCACCATCTTGGCAACATATGCCACTACTCCTATCCAATATGATGAAAGAGAGCTAGCCGGGCCACTACCCAGACCACTCACGTAATCCTAACATCAATAGCCGGAAGCCGAAACACATTCGGAAGCCCCAGCCGAGCCACATACCTGGTCTGGGGCATAATCCGGTCAGACGCACTCGTGTGTCGTCGCCGCCATCTTCCACAGGTCCGTCTTCAGATCAAATTGAGGCATCTACCATGTCTGGCCACTCCGCCATTGACGCCACCATGACGCCAAACAGCAACCTCCTCCTGCGCGAGTCCATCTCCGTGCATCGGACGTCGAGCCTCCACAGCGCCACGCCGCCGACATCCGCCGCCATCAATGAGTGAGATGGAGCACCGCTCCACCCTCCCCCCAGCCAACACTTACTCCAAAACGGCACCCCCAGGAGAACCTGGACGCGTCGGAGGAAAAGCGGAGGCTTGGGCGAAGAAGGGCACGCCGTCAGCAGCTGTTACCCACCCCAAACAGCGCCCGCCACCACCCAGCCCTCAAGGCGGCGCCTTCAAGAAGGTCACGGCGCCAAAGACGCCGCCGCCGCCCACCGGAGTTAGGTTTTCACCCGAGAAGCTAGGTGGTGGGGAGTGGAAGGGCAGACCTTGACAGACGTCTCCATGAAGAAATCGGCGCCCGCAGGCGTCGTCGTCGTCGCGGCCGGCCGGAGCCGACCCGGGTTTCCCCCGATCTGGATCCCGACCACCAAAATCGCATCATTGGGAGGCCCTTAGGCGGCAGCATAGGGAGGGGAGGCGAGGGGTGCGGCGGCGGCGCTATGGGGCGTCACCACCACGCCAGATCCCTTCCTCGCCGCCAACAGCAGCCGGCGGGCCAGATCGGGCGCGGACCAAATCTGGCGCCTAAGCACCCGCACGCCTACGCCGCCGCCACGGCCGGCCAAGCTCCAGGCCACGCCACTCCACCCACCCAGAGAAGGAGAAGCGCGAGACGAAGCAGAGGGCCGCCGGGGAGCGCCGCGACGGCCGCAGCGCCGGAGGCCGAGCCTTCCCCACCTGGAGCGGTCGCCGTCGGGAACGACGCCGCGCGCACGAGCGGGAAGCCCCGCCGCCGCCGTCCGCCGCAGGCTTCGCCCGGCGGTTTCCTCCGGCGGCGGCGCGGCAGGGGAGCCGGGGAGAGGGGGTGGCGGCGCGGCGGGCTAGGGTTCCCCCGAGTCGCCTCCCAGGCGACGCAAAAAAAAAAATATATATGAAGAATATATATGAAGGCACACAAGAACAAATGTCATAATCATTGCAGAAATTAGAAAGCTTCTTGTAACTAATACTGGGGTCTTTTTCATTTATGAATGTATAGAAACAAATGTGGATTCCCACAACATAGCTAAGAACTCTTTAGAACTAGCTCCTGGCCTCCATGTGTGGCTTCTGGAACGCCTAAGTTACGTAAACAATGTTTTGATGCAATAACAAATTAAGAGGCAATGATATTTAGCTCTCGGTGCCCATCTAATCGTATGAGGCCCTGAATCTTGTGCTGGGACAGGAAATCACACAAACTCATGATCGCCGGCATGCCAGCTACATAACACAACTCATCAATCTATTGCGTACAGAATTTAGAAGAAAACACGAAAAATGCCAACGAAGGCCGAGCTCCAGTGAGCTCGTTTTCAAATTTTATTTTTTCGAAGCGTGAAAAATTTCAAATTTATTTTTGAACACACATGCACATGGATACTACTTATATGCAAAATTTCGCAGCATTATACTTTTACATGTGGTGTACAAAAAAAGACAACACATTTTTAAACGGGCCTTTTATTTTTGTTATTGGGTTGGAATTTTGCCTTTTTTGTACAACCTACAAATCACAAGATTTTTCGACGAAATTCAACATCTTCCTGCAGAATACATATATGTTTCCATGGATTTTTTTTCAAATTTTTTCCAAACTTTCAAATATGCTTTCGGATATTTACAAAATACCGAGCTCACTGGAGCTCGACCTCCAGAGATCCCCACTCGAAGAAAACACCCATAGCAAAGCACCAACATACGCATGCAGCACGAAACATCTTCCGACCAACATGGTTGCCAAGTGATGGATCGGTGTGAACCAGACTTCCGATGGATAGATTACGGGCACCATCAGACTGTAGACAATTTGCATCTATCAGACTAGTCGAAGACCGCCCGATGAGAAGCGTGGCGATCGTCGGATCTGCTAGCCAGGACCGCCCGAGATTTGCTGCCTTGGTTTGTTAATTGACTGCTTCCCACCGTATATCTGCTCCCCGTAATCTCGCTGGCTATCCCTGCTAACCTCTCTCTCTTACTGTTTATTCCTCCAAGTAGACTCGTTTTTTTAGCAACTGCATCCTTT